AAGTAGGTCGACGATTTTCCTCTTTCCATTGTCGCATCTTCTTTAAAACGGTATCGTTCTATTCTTCCCTAATTTTAGCAGGGGCCCACTCATCGTTGACTACAGTTGTTCTTAGTAGTCCAGTTTCTTTGATCACTCTGTTCTTAAAGTCTAACTGGAAACCATGTAAGTTCATTAAATCCATTTCAAGTATAACATGTTCTTCGATATCACCGACAATAACAGTATGAGTGAACTTTTCTGTACCAATTCCCAATTGAACCTGAATTTCGCCATGGATGTTGGCACTTTCACCTGTGGCAGTCCGCAGTCGCAATTTTGTTAGTAGAAGTTTCTTATTTATGGTTGTTGGTCGTATATTGGTCCTAGTTGCTCCATTGTCCACCAACAATGTATACTTTTTACCATTTACTTCGCCGTCTACGTATGCACAATTATTGCGACATTTCCAAGGGGCTTTCAGTATAAGAGGGTTTTTGGAACGGTTTCGGGTCGAAGCTGCCCCCTCTAGGCCGACCCGCTCTAGTTTTCCTGCGGTGTGTTGTCTTCAGTTGTTGGGACCTTAGGGCGTTTGCACGAACTGCGTACATGTCCCAGTTCACCTCAATTCCAGCACCTGATGGTCTTCATCTTTTTATCAGTAAAGCTCTTCATTATGTTAACTAGTTGGTCGAGTTTATCTTCTACGTTTTCTTCTTTTACAATCCTCTTTACTGTATCCTGCAGAAGCTTCCGTAGCTGCCTCATAATCTAAAGCAGCAGACAAAACATCGGCCAATGTTTTGTGGCAAGTGTTTTTTGCATCTCGTGGTCACGGAGTCCATCAACAAATGTTTGGACTGCCAAACATTCCATCATGTTTTCCGGAGCTGATGAGTAAGCAAATCGAACCAACCTGGTAATATCTACTTCCTATTCTTGAAGAGTCTCGTGTCGTTTCTGTTTGCGATTCTTTAACTGTGACTGGTATAAATGCTCCAAGTGTTCGTGACCATATCGCATGTTTAGTCTCTTTTTGAGTTAGTCAAAATCATCCGTCTCTTCCACAGGTATTGTCTGAAGAACATCTAAAGCGTCTCATCGAAAAGCAATGGTCAAACTTACTGCCTTCTCTCGTTCAGACCATTCGATTGCTCTGGCAGCTGTTTCGAATTGTTTAAGGTAGTTGGGCCATGACATATCTTCCCGTGGAAAGTTGGGGCTTTAACACGAGCAGAGTTTACAGCTCCTTCCAATTTGAACTTTGATTCCACTCATGGCACTTTATTTCTCCGTCCTTGGCGGTTCTGTATGTTCCAGTTCTTCTATCTTCTTTTCCATTTCTTTTATTTTCTCCTCAACGGAAGTCATCTTATTTTCCAAATCAGCAGAAATTTCGTTTTTTAAAGAAGACATTTCGGAAGACACACTTTGTTCAAAGGAAGAAATATTAGACGAACATTTATTTTCCATAGAAGACATTTTGTTTTTCAAGTAGGAAGAAATTTCATGTTTTAAAGAAGAGATATCAGAAGAAACTTTAGTTTCTAAAGAATAGATTTCGTTTTTCACGGAAGCAACATCAGAAGACACCTTTTCTTCTAAGGAAGAAATGTCAGAAGAAATGTTAGTTTCTAAAGAAAAAATATCATTTTTAATAGAGGAAACCTCAGAAGAAATATCGGTTTTTAAAGAATATATCTTACTTTCCATATCAGAAAAAACTGAAGAAATTATAGCAGAAAATGAATCCTCAGAAAATAGATACGTTTCCGGATCCAAACCCTCACTTTCTAGTGCTTCCTTAAGATGTTCTGCCAGCTCTTTCTTCCCTGTCTCCAGATCACGATCTTCTAATTCTCGACGCAATTCAGCCACTTTTAAATCACCAGTTTTTTTAGCCATTTTTTTTTTTTTTTTTTTTTTAATTTGGTGTCATCGGCATCGATTACTAAGGTCATTAGCCTCGTGTTCGGTGTAGGCTTTGTTACTGTTTCCCACTTTAGAAACAGCACTGTTAATTAGAACCCAACAGTGAATGGTCGAGTGGGGAATCCTACCAAGGCATCAGAATTAATTTTAAATAATGAAATTAAATGAAAAAATCCAGGCTAATGGTGGGATTCGAACCTGGGACCCTTGGATCCACAGCTAGAGACTCTACCACTGAGCCACCCACCCCTTTTGACCACTATTTATTTACAGTTCCACATCTAACACCAATGTAACGTTTGTTTTACTTTTTTATAGTTTATTTATTTAAAACACTACAATTTATTTATGACATACTAATTAATTTATATAATACTTAGGCACTATTATAACTCACAATTCAAATTTATTACAATTTTTCTTTTCTGTCCCAACATTTAAATTCAATCTGCACGTTCGTCGACGAACTCGTGCTATTTATACAAAGCCAACTCTGTACTAGTAGTTTCTAGACGTTCTCGAATGTCCGAAATTCCATCTCTATGAATCAACGGCCACGTACCGCTTTTTCTGGTAGTTTCGAGAAGCGGTGAGTTTGTCCCTATATAACGCCAGCTCTAGACTTCATACCGTGGGCAAGGAGTGAACAAAGCACAGGGCCTGCCCTTGTGCGTCAATATATCTCTGTTGTTTACGTTTGCGTTGTTTTTAAGAGTCAAATATTTTCTAAAAAATCAGAAATATCTTCTATTATGAATTAGATTCGACACACTAAAAACGGGATCAAGTCTCCCTAGTCAACTTTACAGGAGAGCGAGCAGGAGAGTCATGTGTTAAGTACACAACATATTTTTACAAATATATTTGTTAAAATTTTGTTTACAAATATTTAATTTAAATTTACCCCTATAACTTTGCGGAACAATTAATTGTTGTTTAGGCCATGTAAAATAGTTGTTTGAGCCTTTTTTTTAGCAAGCTTATATCAGCTTAATTTACTGAAATTCATTGACACTTGACACGCATAAGTAACTTTTAAAGATGCTCACGGACATGGTCTCCTGCGACTTCTTTCCTATTCCCGAAGATTCAAAATCCATGAAAGGATTAAATTCTGAGAACTTGAAGGGATAAAGATAAAATTGCTGAAGGATCTAAGCACCATACCAAAAATTGCAGTTCAAAAAGTATTTCTATGTGTAAAATTATTGTATTAATAACAAGTTAATATTTTTTTATGAAAAACAAAGAGGTCTTTTTGGAATTGGATGACGCAAAGAATGGGACAAACTAGCTTATATTTTTTATAATTAGGTGTCTATATGGAAATAATAAGGTATAAAAAACCAACACACTATTTAATAAAAAAATATTTTATTTGTCGACACCAATCACCTTCAAAACAATGAGGGCGTACTATTCTTGGCATAATATTCGATTGGCAAACATTACACACTCCTCAGTCAGTTTCATTATATACAGGTCTGTCCAATTTATATCGTTAGCCGATAGTTTAAGGAATAATAAAGGTACTTTTTCCAATAATATATGATCCAATTTAATTTTCATTTACAGGGTTCAGGTTAGTTTAAAATTTGTCCTCGTAAACAAAGATACGAAAAAATTTAGGTGACAAAAAAGTTGTATTTTTCGTTAGCCTATTAAAAAAATATATGAAAAATTAAAAAATCTACTGGGCGATATTTTTTTGCTGGAAACTATTCTGCCCTGTGAGCACGCCTCTGGAATTACTGGATCAAAATGTCATTAAAATCAACGCTTTTTTTAATACCGTGTGCATCAAAAAGGAAACAAAATTGTACCATGATTTATTCAACAAACTACTTTCATTTTTCGATAAACTATCAGCATAAAATGCGTAGAAGGTATAAACTGGACCAATTTAAATTTTAAACTATTTATCTAAGTCATTCAAAAACATTTTTTTTTTACTTTTATGGCCTCCATCTATTTGGGTTTTCAGCCAATTTAATCAAATTACACAATGGGTGGTATGATTGAACGTTTACGTTATCCGTAACGTACATGTTAGGCCGAGTTTTAACAGCAAAGAGACAAATTCGTATGATGTAAAGTCTTTCATAACATATTACTGTTATTTTCCGCCTGTTATGTTCTAATTTAACAGGTTTCCATCATACGAACTTGCCTCGTTACTTTTAAAATTCGGCCTAACATATACGTTACGGATAACATAAACGTTCAATCATAGGACCCAATAATTCATTTAGGTCCGTATTTATAAACAGAACTCAGCTGAGTCGGACTTGGGTGAGTCGTTCTTGAACGAAAATTGAAGTTCGGTTACAACTTCTCTAAAGTTCCATATGGTTCCGGTGTTACACTCGAATTTAGAGATGGATAGTAGCAAATATGTAACTGTTAAGTACATTTACGTATTTGTTACTACCCATCTCTAAATTCACGCTATATAACCGAACTTCGATTTTCGTTCAAGGACGACTCAGCTGAATCGGACTTGGGTGAGCCGTCCTTGAACGAAAATCGAAGTTCAGTTACAACTCCTTTAAAGTTCCGGGGGTTTCCAGTGTTACAATGGAATTTAGAGATGGATAGTAGCAAATCTGTAACTGTTAAGTACATTTAAGGATTTGTTACTACCCATCTCTAAATTTACACGATATAACCGAACTTTGACAACTCAGCTGAGTTGGACTTCGCTGAGATCTGTTTATAAATACTGGCCTTAAATAGAATTAGATAAGGCGGGAAATTGAGAATGTCAAATTCGCCAAAATAAAAGTTACGTTAAATGTTAAAACAGCCCAAAACGGATTCAGAAAATTTTAAAATTGAACAGTACATCCTTATTTTACAAAGTATATATATTTTTTAATTACTATAATCACAAACATTTAGCGCCACATCCATCAAAAAAAAAAAAAAAAAAAATCAAGAGTTACACAGAAAAATTCTTCCCATTACTCATATAAAAATATCAATCAATTCTAATTAGTATTTTTTTTTTAATATTCATGACTCTGATCCTAGTAAAAATTATTTCACACTTAGAAAAAATCCCATATAAAAAATTATTATTATTATTATTAGTACTCCTCTTCGTCCGTCAGATCATTTTCGTCATCAGTCAAATCGTGAACGAACGTTTCGTACTCCAAAATTTCATCGTCGCTCAAATGCGAGTTTCCCTCAATGAACGATGCGAATCTGTCAAATAACAATGAAATAGTATTTTGTGCAACAAGTCAGAAAAAATTTTCCCACTCCAGCGAGCGGGAAAAGAATATTTCGCACTTTACTTTATATACGACTTTTGACTCACCTTTTGACGTCTTTTAATTTTAAGACTGTCTTCCATTGGTTGCATTCAGGACTGGAACAGTACTGTCTCAAACTGTCCAGAGCTTTGGCCGTTTCTCGAACGCCTTCTTGATAGAATTCCTCATTGTTAAGTAATCTGACTTTCGGAGGGAATCTTTTCTTCCTGCAAAACATTACACTAAATAATTCCATGCCGGGACTCCCAGTTATTGTCTACGAGAGGCAGCTGTCCTTTTTTAATGTGTAGAATTAAACACAATTTTTAACATTATTAGGTATAATATAATCTCACATACAATGTAAGTCTAATTAATGCATGATTTACCTCTGACAATTTCTTAATGAATTTCTTCAAGGAATTCTTTACGATTGTTTAAATACGACCACATTTTAAATAATTACGAAATATAAGCCCGCCCTAGCTCATACTAATAATTTAAACTTTGTCAATCATATCCATCAAATATACCGTGAATCACATAAGACATCATAAAAAATAGTAGTAACATCTTTCATATCTCTAATAACACAATGCCTCTCACTCGGGCGTTGCAATTAAGTAAATTATATAATTAAAAATTTGAAATTCAAGCGTTGCTATATCTGTCTTCTTAAGTACCATGTATTAAAACAAGTCTTCTGATATTAAATAGAAAATTAAAGTTGTACATTTCAAATTCTGTCATAAGAATAATCAATGTGCAAAGTTTCATGGTCCACTTAACATTGAATAAAATGTGTTGATAGATTACCTATAAAGATTTAAAATGTATTTACCAATAGGTTTTGGGTGCTGTTTTCCACTTCTGAGGTAGATTATAACTAATAAGTAATATCACAATTTGAGCCATAGCAGCCTCCTGATAATTGCTGCTGTTGAATATCGAACACAGCCCTAAAAATTGCAATGACCATTTAATCAAATTGATTGTTCTTTGATTCTCCACCGGACCCCATCTGTAGCATACTAAAAAACCAACAGGTACTTAAACTTTCAAGTCACACACAAAATTAATGTTACTTACAAATAAAACTGACGAATCCCGTTATTACCATATACCACAAAACATAGAACTTGTATTCTGTTAAAATGACTTGGACATTGTCCCATATTAGATGGCCGATGTAGATGACTAATGTCCAGCCCATACCGAGAACGCCATACATGAGAGGTCTCTACGAAAATAAATGTTATAATTTATTGGAAATACTTCAATTGCCTATTAAAAATGTATTTGTCAAAATAAAATAAATATTTTTCTTCAATTTAAAGATTTGTATGTTCAAATTGTCAACAGTCATTTATAATCAGTCAAATTTTCAAAACAATCCATTAAGTTAAAAACCCTTCTTGGGCTGTTAAAACTTTCAATGTCAATCAGTTTTACTCATTGGAAAATACAATTTTGCCCTATGTTTGAGTATAAAATTATTTTTAAAAACATATTGAGTCCAAAATTTTGATTCTCCAGTTTCAAAAAAGTAGTTGTCAAAATCAGCTCTTTAATGTTTTTTAGATGTTTCAATTTTCATAGGCCAGTCTCATAGGACATTTTTACGCTTTGAAAAATAGATCTTTTTACCTATTTTTGCTGTGTGGAAAACTCGGAGTAGAGTTAGAGCAGGAGTAAATTTTGGTCACGTGACAGAGTTAAAAGAGTTAATTGTATTAATTTGAACGCTACTTGTGTTTAGAAGTTTGGAAATAATTATTAATAAACCCTACTTTTGTGTTTGCCATTGAAAATTAGTTAGTGTGGATTGTAAAATATGCAGTAGAAAATGGTTTTGATGATGACGAGGGAAAACATTTATAATTGTGCTGAAAACGCATTACCAATATGAGTATTATGATCAATTTGAAACCAGCAACTTTTGATATTCTCTTTAATAAGCAATATTTTATCTTTATAAACAAACATATGGGTTTCGTTCATGAACATTTTAAAGTGTTACGCTCCTAAATGTTTTTAAAAAAATTAAACAAAACTGACTTCACCTGAAGATAGGATTTTAATTCAGTATGTAGTGTTGGGATAAAAATATAATTGACCGATTTTACCAAAGACGTTTTATTTGTTTGTAGCATTGTGGACTGACACAGATATTTCTATATTACAAGTTGCAAGGCAACATAAAATTTTACTTACACAGTTACAACATGGAGGAAAAGAAAAGATAAATCAGAGATAACTATCCACAAATCGAAACAAAGAACGGGTATTGAGTACTGTGCAAGCTTGCTCCAGAGTCATTCCTAGCCAAGGTGGTGCAGGATAATTAACTCCATGTACTCTGCTCCACCTAAATTGAATGTAATAGAGTTAACAAGGGTCTTTTGACGAGTGAGCTGCCTGAACTCAGAATTTGTAGATTGAAAATGGCTTGAAAAATCACAATTTTGAGTTGTCATGAACAGATGTAAAAAGTACACAAAATTCCAATACAACACCACTACATGTATTCTATTCAAAATTTAAGCCATAGTCAATTATGTCAGTTTGTTTCTCATTGTAAACATAGAGTTAATTCTCGAGTTAACCTTTAATGGAATATTTTTAGTAATGCCACTTAGAGGTCATTAAATTAACATTTTTACATGTAAAACATTGACAATTACCTTAAAACATCAAAAATAGCCTACTTTTTTATTTAATTTACTACCTATCTCTGCTGGTTGTATAATAAATTAAATTTGAATCACTGTATGGCCTTTGTTTTAATAATCTTAGGAAATATTATTTTTCAAGCTCTAAAACTGAAAAATTTTGTTGTTTGGGTCCTGTGAAGGTTGTGGGTCAATATTTGTTTTATTATAGATGAGAGATATGGAGAAATTTTCTCAGTAAAACAGTGAGCACACCTGTATTTTAGATGTTTTTGTTAAATAAATATTACTTACCCTTGGAAATAGCTTGCTAGTAAAATATATCAGAACAAGAATTGATGCACAGACACCGAAAACTATCCCACTAATAAAATGAAAAATTGTATTTTTACTCAAAGTATCTGCTGATAAAAATATGCCAACTCCTATACCAAGAAGTAGCAATTTCCAAAAATCCAAATCTAAAAAATAAATAGTATACAAACATATCTAAGAATAAAAAGATTTACCTATCTAGGGTAATCCCAAAGAGCTGCAGGCCTGTCTTTCAGCCCTAAGAATATCAAAAAAACATGTAAAAACGACTTACTTATAACATTGTATTGTACAGTGTACCCCTCGAAGCTTCTAACCCCAACGCAAGTGGTATTGAAAGGATCAACTTTAAAACTTTTTTGTTTTATCATAAACAAATTTGGTGACCAGTAAAACCGGTTTTTTGAATATTCTGATTGGACTTCTTCAGGAGAAGAACCTTCGAATAATGTGTACTCATCACTAGGATGGTGTAACTGAAACTAAAAGAGCAGTTATATCTACCATCACAGAAAGATATTTGAACTAATTACAATTACACTCTGCCATGTATAAATGATAAATTTCTTTCTTCCTTTGTAACAAAAAGTTTGTAACTCTAAGCCACTGCTACCGCTTGGATTAATTCTCATTTTTTCTCCATGTTCCAAATAATGAACTAAAATAGAATGATTAGGCTAGGCTGCATTAAGAATAATTACTCTAACTTTATTTTACCGTTAGTGTAGACTGCACTTGCTGCTAAATTCGAATGAATCGATACTGCGATTAATAAACCAATTAATTTGAACATTTCTACATTAAGACCCAAATCAAAAATGCATCTATATAAGCAAAGTCAGGCGAAGTTCAATTTCAATTTGCTAGGTTAAGTTTATTTATTAAAGAATATTTGTATCAAAGTAACGGCCAAATGGCCAATCTGTATATTATTGCTGGATAGTCATAGTAGTTCAGGCCAAAAACAAATGAGTTTTTAAAGACATCTTATGAAAAACCATGAAAAACCGCAGATAAATAGGGAGTTTTTAGCAAACAGCCGCTAACCATCCGCTAACGTTACCTTAGGGATCACAGAACACTTACTCTTAGAACGGTAACTCCCATGTTAAAAAAGGATGATAGAGTTTTTAGCGGCACCTGGTGGACGTGGTTGATTTTTTTTCAATTAAGTCCTTGTCTGGTAAGAGGCCATATGAAAGAAGAGAAAATAATAAAAAGAAGAAAAGCGCGGGGCTATTCAAATTTGACAGTAAAAATTATCCGCATTATAAACTGTTAGCCAAATTAAGATTTGTTCACACAAATTGCATTTTTGCTTTATTATAGCGAATATCGCTATAATAAAGCAAAAATGCAGTTTGTGTGAACAAATCTTAATTTGGCTAACAGTTTTTAGATAAAAAAAAACAAGAATATTCCAAAAATAAATTTATTAAAGAATATATATAATACAAATCCAATATTTAAAAAATGTAATGTATATGAAAATTGTATTATGTATGAAGTAGCTGGATGGCTGCTACATATTCCAGGATACAACACTGTCCAACATTTTGTGAAGAACTTTAGCTGTGAAAAAAGAAAGACAGTATAAGTACAATCTCATTAAAATAAATGTATTAATAAAAAATTATAAGTCCGAGGAATACTTTATTTTTTAATAAGTCCAACATCTACGATACAGCTTTGCAACCCCAAACGTCATGAAACACAAATTTCACAGTATATGCAGCGTTTAAGAATCCACATCGGATGCAACTGAGATGTAGTAAATTTTTGATCACGTGATTCAATTTACGTAAATGTAATGGGACAGATGTGTCCGATTTAAAATAAACTATTTGAGGCGCTGTTCTCCACATCTCGGCAAATGGACTAAAATAATAATTTATAATACTCTTAATATTACCTTATTTTAATTATTGTGCCACTATACTGTATTTGCTCAACCAGAATGAGTTGCAATGATTGCAAAAGTTGCAGAATAGAGGCCTGAGGATAATACTGAGCTGTTCGAGATTGGAACCAATCAATTCCATGTTGAATGTGCTTCAGTGGTTGACTGTTAAAAAATATTTGCTATTCTATTCCCTGCTTTTTATATTTAAAATTAAATCAGGAATCTCCAGAGTATATTTACAAAATATTTTAAGTTATAATCAGGATGTTCATGAACCTAAACAGGTAACAAGAAAAATGTACACAAAATTCAGTGTTTTTTAAAGGTGTACAGGCTTTTAATAATTTGCCTGAGGATATTAAATGTTCTTCAAATGTGGCAATATTTAAAATAAAACTGCATGAATACCTGTTCACCTATTGACGTTTTTTTTTCTCTTTGTTCTTTTATTGTTTTGTATAGTTGACATGTAAGTGTACTGTATCTTATGTATTTTTTATTGCATTTTAAATGTATGTTGATTCTATATTTATGTATTTTTTATATTTTAAACGTGAAGATGTATTGACATGTAAAAAATAGTTTTTTTGACTAAATAAACGTTTTATATATAGGTATGTGGATAAAAAAACGCTCGAGATGTAAAAAATGCATCTGATGTGGATTCTCAAACACAGCAATAAGTATAAAATAAATAAGTACTAACTTTCCTTCTCGAAAAGAAGTCCAACATATATTATTAATCTGCTTCTTCTTCTACGATACAGCTTTGCAACCCCAAATGTCATGAAACAGAAAATACACAGTATAAGTATAAAATAAATGAGTAGATTACTAACTTTCCTTCTCGAAAAGAAGTCCAACATATATTATTAGTCTGCTTCTTCTTCGAACCTTTACTTGAAGTAGAAGGTGTTTGATCAACATATTCAATTTCTATGTTATTTGAGGAAAGTCCATCCGCTACTCTTCCAGGAACTGCTGGTAGGAATAGCGTTGGAAATGCTTCAGGTGTTAGACCTCGACGAGAGCCAACTACTTTATACTTCTCTTCAAAATGTTTATGACATACTACAAAGGTGGAATAAATTTGTAGTCTTGTTTTATTATTAAATCTTGAACAACGAACAGCAAGTGCACAAATATCAAATAAATCGGGTGAATTCGTAGGGTGAGGCAGGCGATGCATCTTGTTGTCCACAACAAGGCAATTCGGTACACAGTTTCTATAATTACGCATCTTTATGAAAAACCACAAAATAACAGCGGAAAAAGCACAAATTTATAATGGAAAAACAAGCTTATTAACAGTGGTCAACTAAATCAATTAAGCAAATTGGAAATGAAAACAACTGAATACAACAGTCACCAATATAAATAAACAAAGTTTACGTTTGGTTTAAGCCAAGACGCCATGACACCCCCACAAAAATCAATATTCACCTGTCATTTACACTCCCACCACCTACCCCACCACCCGACTGCAGCGCCACGCGGACGTGGTTGATTGATCCCAGGCCTGCGCATACCAGTTTCCCACCCCTGATGACACCCCCCCAAAATCAATATTCACCTGTCATTTACACTCCCACCACCCGACTGCAGCGCCACGCGGACGTGGTTGATTGATCCTTGACCTGCGCATACCAGTTTCCCACCCCTGTTAGGGATAGACTGTAATCTACTCCGTCAATGTTTATGAAAAATGTAACACAATCTAAGTTTAACGTAACGTTAGCGGAAATCTTACGTACATTTGCTAAAGCTCTCTAATGTGAATATTTACGCCCGTATGCACCGTACACGTTTAATCCAGAATAATCCAGATGAAGGGTTTAATCGCGTTTAGTACCATAGCTAAAAATGGTACTGAACGCGATTAAACCTTTGATCTGGATTAAACGTGTACAGTGCATACGGGCGTTAAACGTACGTAGAAACTATAAATTATGGAGGAAGGATTTTATAAATGCTTTAGATTTCCCACATAACTGAGATTTCCGAAAGAAGTGTTAACCCAGGTGATTTTATTAACCCTAGTATTTAGCCAACATTTTCAGCAATTGATGCTTCCACTTGAGTTAGGCCAGTTTAGTGACATAAGGAATAACGACATAACCTAACATAAATTAAAAAAAAATAAAAATAATCGTGATTATGGCTTAGCAATGGAAAGGCTGGTCAAGGTGCTGAATGTAGGCAAAATAACTTATTCTAACGGACTAAAATTACAAAAATACTTGGCCAGCCTCCATAATAAGTCTATAGGAACCCACAATACCTTGTTATGTGTGGAACACCCACCTGTTTATACCACAGGTATACGAAATAAACAATACACGGAGAATGATGTAATAAAACTGAAGGAAAAAGGTACAAAGTACTATTAAAACTAACTGGATATACTTATATAAGGAATGTTATTTCAGGTGCGGAATTTTATAGAACAGACAGGGGTGGTTTAATTACATTCCATGGACCTGGACAATTAGTAGTTTATCCTATTTTGAATTTAAAACATTTTAAGCCCAGTATACGATGGTACGTTTGTAGCATTGAAAGTACAATTATTGAATTATGTAAAGAATTTAATTTGAAAGCTGTGAAATCCCCACATACTGGAGTTTGGATAGGTGATAAAAAGGTAAAAAACAGAAAAAATTGCATTGTAAACTTAACATTAAGTATTTTTTTAATTATTAGATTTGTGCTATTGGCGTCCATGGTAGCAGATTTGTTACCACTCATGGTCTTGCTCTCAATTGTTGTACAGATCTTACTTGGTTCAATCATATTGTACCTTGTGGAATTGAGGGCAAAGGTGTCACCAGTATAAGTGAAGAAATTGGAAGGATAGTTACTATTGAGGAAGCTTTACCAAAGTTCATTCAAAGCTTTAAAATTACTTTTAATTGTGATATTGTTGATACTCCACAAGAAGAGGTTGATTCGGTTTTAAGCAGAGTTGGGTAGTTAGATATTTTTGCCTTTGTGTTTGTAAATAAACTTGAATAAAAAATGGTTTTATTTAATTTATGGCTTTTATTTTCATCTAAGGGACAAAGAAGAAATAATATGGAAGACATTAATATACATAATCGATACTGACCTTCTTCTATCTTGTCTCTGCCATATTTTCATCATTGTCCCTGCCTTATCCTGTGTAGTGTCATATAAAATACAAAAAGAATAAAAAATTGAATAAAAATAGTATAGTTCTTTTAGGGCCGATTCCACCGTTGTGTTAAACGGAGATTAAAATGACATTGTTAATGTAAAAATTTCATTTTAAACTTCGTTTAACACAATGGTGGAATCGGTCCTTAATCATCATTGTCAACAGTTCCTGGGACTTGACAGGTACATATTCAGTATTTTATAGTGATGGTTCTAGTTCAGAATTTACTTTTCAAAGACCTATTTCTTCCAAATTTTTTTAAAAAGGCCCAAAAACCACAAATTTTTCATAAATATTTATTGTTTGTATTTTGGCATAAAACATGAATTTTCTATTTCAAATACGAAAAAATACAAAATTTGTACTTTTCCTAAAAGTTATCTATTATGGTCCATTTTACAATTTTTTTGAATATTTTGGTAGACTACAACGTTTTATACTTAAGCCATATACTTGAGGTAGAAAAATTAACTCCTATAAACTACTCTCCCCCTGATGTTCCAATTATGCCCAAAACCTAATCAGATTTCAGATCAGATGGATTGAAGCGCAATAAAATTAGTTTTTATCTTTATCTATACACACAAAAATGAACAAAATGGAATCAGGGGACCCGAAAATGTAATGATCTATCAAAAACTCGAGTTTGAAAAAAATCGTGATTCATTTACTTTTCTTACTGGATAAAGGAAAGTAAAAATACATAGTTTAAGGTTTTTTATTTTTGCAATATTTGCAAAGTTAATGTGACACCTACCGCACTGTTTGGTCTTATGGGAAGTGCATTATATCATACGTGTGTGGATAAATTTGCTTTCCACACGAGTGTGGATATGAATCTACTTTCCACATAAGCTCTCAAATAAGTCAGACGTCTAATTTATATTTTGATTGATGTAATGTCCATTTTAATAGTAAAGTTGATTTGATTATTAAATTAACATTAATTTTTAAAAATAGATCCTAGATATTTCTTTTTATTATTAACTGACTTCAAAAAAGGAGGAGGTTATCAATTCGTCGCGATATTTTTTTTATGTATGTTCAGCGATTATTCTTTAAGACGGTGTCCGATTTCAATGATTCTTTTTTTGTTAGAAAGGTGGTACTTCAGGGGTGGTCCCATATAAATTTAGTCAAAATCTAATAATTGGGTCCATGAGAAAATCCTCAAACTCTTCATTTTTTATGTGTTTAGCGATAATGCTTTACCACCTTGTCCAATTTCTATGATTCTTTTTTGTTAGTAAGGGGGTACCTCAGGGGTGGTCCCATATAAATTTGGTTAGGATGTGTTGATGGCATCTGCACGTTTTTGAAGTCGGTTTTTTTTAATTTTTAATTTCTAATACTTGTTAACAAATTAATAAAATAATTTTAAAGTAACTACGTACATTTTTGTTTTTCTAGTTCACATACATATTTAATTAGATAAGCCAAATCACACAGCCATGATAGCGTAATGGTTTACCGTCTGACTTTTTCAAATTATCATATTATAACCCCTACAAATATTTTGTACTATTTTATTTACTGTTCAGAAAAAAATTGTAAGTAAAGAAGTGAGTAACCATCAATAATAAAAAAGTTTTGGTTCACGATTGTTCAACTTATTTGTTTAAAACAATTGTAACTAATGATATTTTATCTTTATGATCCTATGAAATTGTTTGTAAATGGAATCACAATATTTTTAATTTTGACAAAACACTATCTGTAATATAAAACGCTTGAAAAATTATTCAATAAGGCATATAAAAAAAAAAATCTAAAACCAGCTAACCTTTATAGCCACATTTTCTAGTTTTGCATTTTTTTGATAAAATTATTTTGTGGTCGTAGGAAAAATATTGTATATCACTTGTATGAAAGTGATTTTTCACACTCGCGTGATTGTCGCACTCGGCGTATGCCTCGTGCGACAATATTTCCCGCCTGTGTGAAAAATGTCACTTTCCACACTCATAATGTAATATACTATTTTTTTATGTATATAAAATTATACAATAAGTATGTTTTATGTATTTTATTTAAGAATATAATATACAAAAATAAGGCATAAGTAGTAACTAAAAAACTATATCAGTAGCTTGGAACTAAGACTACCATTTTAAACTTCATTTAATTAATGTTATTATACCATGTGGATATTTATAGTATAGTTCCAACTTACTAATGTTATGCTTAAACATGTGACAAATTTAAATTATTTTATTTTCATATTACAATACCAGAATATAAGAGTATTGTTAAAATGTCAAGAATAAAAACCACAGATGAATAATACAAAAGATATTTTGCAAATATTTAACATCATAAAGCAATATCATCTTTTAAAAAGTGTTAAGTATTTCTAAACATTTAAAGGCAATTTTATAAACCACCATTTATTAATGAAACATTGTCTTCTTACTAAATTTAATAATAAAATATTTATAAAATCAACATAATTATAAACAATAAAAGATCTTAAAAATGAAAATGAAACAGTAATTAAGAACAGCCAATAGGTATATTTTTGCATTTTCAATAATACACTTTTTTTGTTAGAAATTGCGCCAGGATGAATTTCAATTCAGTGGTTTACAAAGTTGAAATATACAAAAAAAAATGCAAACAAAGCTATTTTTTATAAGTTCTCTGTTATCACTTTTTGTGCTATTATTTTAGCTGGGGCAATCCAAATTCATCAACAGGCACTGTATCCTAAGGAAAGAAAACATGTTTCAATACCAAACAAATCTAATCTTAAATAATATCTTTACAGAGAAATATTTAATCTCAGGAAATTCTCAGACTATTTAAAAATATCAAACTTTTTTCAGTAATGTTGTTGCTGAAGGGTCTGGAAATGGGCCTGTATGCACCATTCCTGTTCCGGCTAGTTCTGCCAGTTGGAATCATTACAAAGTTGCCAGGTTATATTTAATTATTTGGAACCAGGGAATAAGCAGATTGAAATACATATTTTACTTTTAATCATCTATTAATCAATTTTTACATCAATTAAAATCCCATAAAAATTAAATTTTTTCTAAAGATTTTCAAGTAATAGGATCCTTATTTTTAATGTCAATAATACCTTTCAATAGTGATAAATACAAAATTTTAATTTAAAATCTATCAAAACTGTCTTATAAAACAAAACATAATTGTTATTTTAAAATATAATATAAATCTTTATACTTATTTATCATACATTTTAATGTACAGAGGTGGCTTGTGCAAATTCAAATTCTAGACGTCAATATAGAGTGGTGTGCGTTTCAAGACCCGTCAACTACAACATTACCCTTTTTTGAAAGCGACCAAACTTGATAATGACCATATATTATAACAAGTAATTTCTTACCTTGGTATTTTTATCAGGCAACATTCCAGATGGTAGGCTTTCTGGTTTCGTAGACGGAGCTTCTGGAGCCTTAAGAACATCATCTAAGTAGCTCTGATCAGCATCCATGGCCATTTCATCACCTAAGGCATCTAATTCTGCTGCCAATTCATCTTCATCAACTTCCGCTGTATTATAGCTCCTTCCTAAAGCGTCTTGCACTTCATCTGCTTGTTCTAGCATATCAGCCAATTCGTCTTGTACTTCCTAAAAATAAAACGATTTCAAAATTTGAGTAAAGTACCGAATTACTGTTAACATACATCAATATCGTCAACGTTTATTTTTTTGAACTCCTTTTTCATCTGGTTCATACCATCTCTCATCGCAGACACAGTTATTTGGGTGTCTTTCAATGTTTGATGGGCGAAATTGGCTTGTTCCATGTTGAACGATTGGCCTCTTAGGTTATCCAGTTGGCCTTCATACATTTTTTTCTGTTTTAGAATCCTAAGAGCCTTTTGTTTGACGGCATTTTTGGCGGGTCCCTCTCGCATTTTGGACATTTGATCTCTGAATTTGCGTAAATCATTTTCTAGGGCGTTGATTTTTTTCTCTACGTTTTCTGCTCTTTGATCCACCTACAATTAAGCCAAACATTTAAAAATTGTTTTAGTTGTTTTAGTATAATGAATACCCCTGTTATAACGTCATTAATACTCGGTCCTGGCTCTTTTGGTTTGCCTTTACCAAATAGACGGTTCATTTTTTAATTTTTTTATTTCTAATAAAATGAAATGCCAAAAATAATTAATAAACTTGTCATTCCAAGGTTATTCAATTGACAAACGACATTTAAATTTTAAATGACATAAGTATCTTCTTTTCTATTGCCGCGTTTGAGAATCCACATCGGATGCATTTTTTACATCTCGAGCGTTTTTTTATCCACATCGGACACATCTACTACATCTACATCTGCGTTTGTTTATCCCAGATGTACTTGTTCAGATTACATTTTTTACATCTCGATTTGAAATGAGATGTGAATGAGATGTTCGTTCCATGTCAGAAAGTAAGTGTTCTGTGAAGCCTTGTTTGTCAATTTATCCTTTGTTTATGCTAGCATGAATATAAAAGTGATTAGTTTGTATAATTTTTGTTTATATTTCAAATTTAGGTTGATTTGTAGTCTCAAAATTCAAATTTAATAAGTATAAACTTCTAACTTGTCATTGACATTTTATCACGTGACCAAATAAAGTCTGGAGCGTTTGTTTATTACATCTACATTCAGATCTAATTCTCTATCACGTGATAAAAAATTCACAACATCTCAGATGCATCCGATGTGGATTCTCAAACGCGGCATATAATACACCTTCAGCCAAGGGCAAAGTGGTTATATGGTCCGTATTCCGTGTTTATAACAGACCCTAGGCCCGTATTTATAAACAAAACTCAGCTGAAACGGACTTGGGTAAGTCGTCCTTGAACTAAAATCGAAGTTCGGTTATATCGCGTAAATTTAGGGCCCTATTCAGTAATTTATCGTTTATGGACGACATCGTTAAGCTAACGACAGCTCAACCAACGACTTTTATAACGATAATTTTTGAAACTCTATTCAATAACAAAGTCGTTACGTTGTTTCTAGTTACCAAATCTGAACGATGATTTCTAGTAAGTTGGTATTATAATTTAGTGTTTTGTGATAAAAGAACGTATGTTGATGATTATACCAGGTGTTTAAATTAAAGTGTTACAGTTAAATATCGCCGAAAATTTGCATTTTATAAAAAAAAAGTATCAGACAAAAGTTTTTTAGTTTTTTAGGGGAAACATTTTGGCTAAATTAATTTTTTTATAGCTGACCATAATATGGCCATATCGAGGTGGATTTTTTTTTAAATTGGAACCCTATTTTTTTACATAGGTATCCTTAGGGTTCATAAAAAAATAAGAAACTTCTAAAGGAAACATTTTTTTATTGGATTTCTACTTATTGAGTAACACCTACTTGAAAATTAGGCTGCGCGAAAAAAAGTTGGCCATATTATGGTTTGCAATTTTAGCCAAAATTTTTTCCCCAAAAAACTGTCAACTTTGTTTTTTTTTATAAAATTCGGTATTTAACTGTAACCCTTTAATTTGAACACCCGGTATATTTGAGATTTTTTTGGAACGTAAAATAAAAATTCAACCAGAGATATATTCATTTGTTTTTCAGAATATATATTAATTATTGTTCTTAACCTACAACACGATCAGGGGGTCGATTCTCGATTCGTAGGAATTCTGTTTCACGCGGGCCATTTTTGCTGGTCGTATTGTATGTAGGGTTTATTTAAATGAGTATGGATATATTAAAAAAAACTGAGAACTATTCCAAAAGAATACAAAAAACAACTCAAGAACAGTACAAGTTGTATTTTTTATTGGATTTGAAAGACAAACCAAATTTGTGTAGGTTACGGAGGCGTATTATACCTAGGTACTTCCCTAATATAGGTTTTGTTACTGTTTCGCAGTGCTATTTTAGGAACAGCACTATTAATAAGAATCCAATAGTAAATGGTTGAATGGGCAATCCTAACTTTGAATCAGATTTATTTTTAAAATAATTAAATAAATTAGAAAAAAATTCCTTACAAATTTTACTTGCTGTATTAGGTATATGGCAATATAGTTGTAAAATTTGTATTATTTAGAACATATCCTGATTCACAATAAAAATCTGATGTGTCCAACACATGACTTTCCTATCTAGTTATTACAGGCTTTTTCCGTTTATTGTGTACAACCTATTGCAGCATCTCTATAAATGTTTAGAGGATAAACTAAATATATATACATTGTCCACATACATCTACCGCGAAACATTTTTCTATAGATATTCATTGAAAATTAAAATACTGAAAAATTTAAATTTAGCACTTTTCCTACAATTTTTCCATTACGGTCCATTTAAAAAAAATCATGTATGAACAAATATTATAGAGATCGATATCGCAAACAACTTTTATTTCAACAATTTTCATAAAAATCAGAATTTTGCACATTTTGTCAAATTTTTCGAATACGGACCATTTCAGGAAATTTTTACATAAGGCAAAAATTATAGATAATAATATTAGAAGTAACTTTTATTTGAACAATTTTCTTCTCCAAACATAAATAACAGATATATTCCATAAAATATATAAACGGCCTCCCATAAAGTACCCCCCAGATGTTCCGACTTTGTCCAAAATCTAATCATTTCACGTCAGGCCGAAATAAAACTTAAGTTTAAAATTTATTGATTTTTTCTTTATCCGTTTTTGAGTTTTCTTCAAATTTAGAAATTTACACATTTTCTCAAATATCTCGAATACGGTCCATTTTAGAGAAATTATCTATGGGACAAAAAGAGAATTACAAACAACTTTTGTTTGAACAATTTTCATACAAAAAAATATTTTTTTACATTTTGTCAAATTTCTCGAATACGGACCATTTTAGAAAAATTTTGTAAATGACAAAAATTATAGATAATAAAATAAGAAGTAACTTTTATTTAAAAAATTTTCTTCCCCAAACGTAAATAACAGATATATTCCATAAAATATAAAAATGACCACCTATAAAGTACCCCCCCAGATGTTCCGACTCTGCCCAAAATCTAATCAGCTCATTAGACGCTGGAATAAAGCTTAAGTTTGAAATTTGGTGTTTTTCCGTGTATCGGTTCATGAGTTATGCGTTATACACACACGCACACACACACACACACACACACACACACACACACACACACACACACACACACACACACACACACACACACACACATCATCCCGAAAATAGTCAAAACGGATTCAGGGGACCTCAAAACGTAAAAATCCGTCGAAAACTCGAGGTCGAAAAAAATCATGATTCCTATACTTTCCTTATATCTGTATACAGATAGGAAAGTAAAAAATGAGAGGGAATGCAAAAATCACTTAACGACACTTCATATTATTAACGACAGCTCTTTGGCTATCGTTGATGAACGACAATTTTACAACCATGTTTGTCTATTTTCAACGACAATCGTTGTCTACTGAATAAGAAAAGTCGTCTGTGAACGATTATCGCCTATTAACGACGTCGTTCAGAGTTACTGAATAGGCCCCTTACTCCCTTAGAGGTGGGTATACTCTGTTTTTAAACTAGGAGGAGCGAATTGAAAAGACGCATTTACACAGGGAAAAGTAACTAGATTTGTTACTAAGAGCGAGTTTCGAAATATAGTCGTGTTCAAAATTTATGAAATAATTATCTTTATCGGCCTTAGTCGGTGAACGGCCAATGAGCGGTAATGGAACGAATAAATGTCAAAGAAGTAATTTTTTAATTGGTCCCAGACAACGGTCGCAAATTTCACATTATTGTGATCTGAAATGTGTGTCTAAAACGAAATGTCACTGTCAAATTAAAGTCAATATGGTTGTTGATTGATGTCAGAAATACTTTTTTCTTGCTTTTGAAATCGACTTTTTGAGAATAACTATGATCTTTTTAAAATGGATAATAAATATTTAAGAAAATTGTTAATGGAATATCCAGATGTAGCCAGGTTAGAATAAAATATAAAGATCTGTTTACATTTTTAAGGATATATTTGTTATAGGTATAAAAAGTAAAAGTTAATCAGTGAATGACAAGTGGATCACACAGTAACTGGTATCTCTTCTATAAGTAATGTGGATATTATGGTTTATTTAGTGTTAGCCCATGGTTAATGCGCTGGAGGGCAAATAAAGGCATTCAAAAGTTTACAGGCCTATGAGTCAGAATTTGTTTTGAAAACTGGAACCAACATTTTCATAACACTAAATGTCAATATATATTTTTTAAAGTGAACTATTCATACATACCTATGTATTAATTTTAAGTATTTTTAAAATATTTTTTGTGAAAATAATGTTAACTCATTGTGCCAAATTAAGATTATCCCTAAAGTAGTAGATGGTGTTTTAAATGTTATAACAATTTTGTAAATAGTTTTATTCTATTCTAATAAATAATATTTGCTTGAATATTTAGTTACATTTTAATCATTTTGGTTAGAAATTCATCAATTTTTAGTTTTAAAAAATCAGTAATAAAATTATTTTTTTCTAAAATACGTCGGAATTCATCTCTTCATGGTAATCTCCCATCATTTTACCTTCAAAAACCAATAATGCATTTTCTACAAAACCTTCAGAATCAGCATGTAAAATAATAAGGTGTCTTCCCTTTCTTGTAAGGCTTTTCAAGAATTGCTACCTTTAATAGTACTCAGTATAGAAGGATCCATAATTGTAGATTTTCAATACAATTGCTTACTGAAGAACTATTATTTATGAAATACAGTAAAAAACTAAGTAATGGAGGAGATATGAAATTATAAAATGTCAGAACTGTCAACAATATCAATTATTAGCTGATGTTCATGCTAAAAAGTAAATGTGTGAAACTGACTGTAATCTGACCAATCAGAAGGCTACAGAATTGCCAACTTAAATTCAAATCGCTCCTCTTAGTTTAAAAACAGAGTATAGTAATAAATCCGGGTAATGTTGTAGTTGACGGGTCTAGAAATGCGCATATTCACACCACTCTGCACTGACGTCTAGAATTTGAATTTGCTCAAGCCACGTTGCCAAATCTTCACTTTCATTTTAGCTTGCTTTATTTCATAGTTTATTATTTAGACAAATTGTAACCTCTGTAAATTAAAATGTATGATAAATAAATATAAAGATTTATATTATACTTTGAAATAACAATTCTGTTTTGTTTTATAAGACAGTTTTGATAGATTTTAAATTTAAATTTTGTAATTATCACTATTGAAAGGTATTATTGACATTAAAAATAACGATCGTATTACTTGAAAATCTTTAGAATTTTTTTTAATTTTATGAGATTTTTAATCGATGTAAAAATTTGTAAATAGATGATTCAAAGTAAAATAGTTATTTCAATCTTCTTATTCCCTGATTCCAAATAATTAAATATAACCTGGCAACTATGTAACGATTCCAACTGACAGAACTAGTCGCAACAGCAATGGTGCGGACTGGCGCATTTCCAGACCCTTCAACTACAACATTACCTAAATCCGTAAATGTACTTAACAGTTACAGATTTGCTAATAGCCAACTCCAAATTCCAGTGTAACACTGGAACCACCTCGAACTACAGGGACGTTGTAACCGAACTTCGATTTTAGTTCAAGGACGACTTACCCAAGTCCGACTCAACTGAGTTTTGTTTATAAATACGGGCCTTACCCACAAAGCACATAGAGGTTCCACGTGAATGACCAAGGTCAAAACCGACAATTGACATTTTTTATGCTATTTGCTCCAAACTCTAGATGGGGCTACTGGTAAAATTCTGATTTCTTACTCCATTTTTAAGCTTTATGGGAGAAAAACTTAACCAAAGACTCCAAAGATGTGACGTGTATTTATTTATGTTTTTGGTTAATCTCATTTTTCCGTCTGATTTTAGTGATTTTTTGTTGGCTTTGGCTTTTGGTTTCTGTTTATAGTTTCGTCTTAGTTATTTGCAAAATTGTGATGTTTTGCTTTTCTATTTGCTACTGTGTTTTGCAATAATTTTGGTGCTACCTGTGGGTGCTACGTTGAAAACTTCGAGAAAAACTTATTGATTCACCATGCATCTGCATCATAAAAAGACAAACGGGTATAACAACTAATTGATAATCAATTTATCACTGGACTAGATTCCGAAATCATTTTTCACATAAGAGAGTAATACACAAAGCAGTGGAGTAATACCACCATCTGTATTTGGAAGGAAAATACCTATTTATCATTGAATGAATAGTTAAAATGATTCACCTTTTAATACAATACCTATATTACATTTGTCCTCGGTTTAAAAGACATTTATAAAATATATTATTTTAGTGTTAATAAAATGTAATATCCTAGTCTCTACTTCACATTTAAATTATTGATAGGTACTTTAAAGATTTGAGAGTAAGTATTCGTTAAATATGTATTATTATTTGTATTTATTTTTATCTAATAATATTTATTTAAGTTATTAATAAACATATTTTAAGAATGTTCTATTTGATTATTTATTGATATATCTTATATTTATTTAATAATAATATGCAGAACCAACTCTCCACATCAGACCCCTGCTTATAACAAATTAATTCCTCAAATTTGGTATAATCGACCTAAATTATTTTGTAAAATAAAAGTTTCGAACTTACTAGTTCCATTCTTTATTTTATAAAATAATTTATGTGGAAATCATTTAAAATTTAATTTAAAACTACTACCTACTCCTAAAAATTACAATTTGAATTTACCGCCATCTGTCAATTGTCATTTTAGTTCCAGCTCCAAACACAAGGTGGCGCTAATTTGGTTTAAAAGTTTAACATTGGCGTGGGGTCTCTAGAAGATACGTGCTTTGTGGCCTTACCCAAAGATATCGGATGATGTCTATGGCCTTACCTGAGTCGGACTTGGGTAAGTCATCCTTGAACGAAAATCGAAGTTCGGTTATATCGCGTACATTTAGAGATGGGTAGTAACAAATACGTAACAATGAACTGGAGTGGGGTAGAATGCTTGTCAATAGGCTTGACATGCGACTCTATGGGCAAAGACAGGTTATTTTTCTTCTCACTCGGGAGTATTTATAACAACCATTTTCTATTTCACTTTGTTATTGTCTGATCCACCAGCATGTGGATTGAACAATAACAAAGTGAAACAGAAAATGGTTATTATAAATACTCCCGAGTGAGATGAAAAATAAAAATGGCTGCGTCCATAGAGTCGCATATTGTTCTATTGATACAATATGCACATTGGCTTTCTACCCCACTCCAGGGGGGCTATTTTCAAACTCGAGAGAATTCATTTCTCTCAAGAGAAATGTCATACGTCAACGTAAAACCATATTTTTAGGGCTCTTAGGGCCAGTGTGAACTCACTGACTGTTTCTCTCGGTTTATTTAGAGAGAATTAAAATCTTCCTAAGAATTTTAATCCTCGATGCCTTTAAAAACAACATTTCCACATTGACGTATGACATTTCTGATGAGAATCTTGAGAGAAATGAGTACTCACACAGTTTGAAAATAGGTCCCCAGTTCATTGATACGTAAATGTACATAACAGTTACATATTTGCTAATATCCATCTCTAAAGTCCAGTGTAACACCAGAACCACCTAGAACTTTATAGACGTTGTAACCGAACTTCGATTTTAGTTCAAGGACGACTTACCCAAGTCCGACTCAGGTAAGTTCTGTTTATAAATCAATGAGATACATCCATGCATCTCCATTAGTATTATACCTCCAAGTTATAAATACGGGCCTTAACGTGTCACTATCTGACGGACTAGAAGGAAGAGACCTTTTGTAACGTAGGAAAAGAAAACAATCGACAAAAACTAGGTTCTTTCGTTCGCTATTGGTGAAGTGTAAACCAGTGTAAATTACACCAGTTACACCACTTTATTTACCTTAGTTTACTTCCCTCCTTATTCCTTATATACATGTCGAGTGTAATTCACTCCTGCTAAATAGCTGGTGGAGAAAATATCCACCAGTGGATACCACATCGCCGACAGGAAGGTTTAGTGGATTTTACACCGGGCCGAACGAAAGGTTTAGTGTACGTTGGTGTAGTTAATTCCTACACCAGTGGGACGAACGAAAGAACCTATTAAATAAGAAGAAATGTAGAGGTTAGAGAGAGAGAGAGAGAGGTCATACTTATCAATTGTCAATTGTCATTTCAAACCAATCATTTTGCTTTTCAATTTTAATGTCGGTCATTTGTACTGTTTATGAATTTTTATGATTGTAAAAATTGTATTTCTATAGATCGAATACTGATATTTTTTTAATAGCTGAAGAAATATCGACTGAGAACTAGTTACTCAATATAGCAGTATTCAATTTTGTGCCAATTATTTTCATAATACTCCAAAAACTAATTAACAATATGGAAAGAACTCAAGGAGATGGAATTGACAATTCGACTTTCAACAAACGACTTCCGCTGGAAACGATTTTAAATTCTGAATTGGCTACTAAGCGCAGTTTGAAAATACTGCAGGCCTTGAAACCAGTACAGCCAAACAGCAAAGTGTATTATCTGACTCCAAAACACACATTTAAAGCCAAGCCTGTTCCGAATTACTTTGTGCATAAGCAAAAAGAGCCTAAATTCGTACCGTGTGAGCCCTACAAGGCCGCCGTCGAGCCCATGGTTAGCAAAAAGCATGTTAATAAGAGTCCTAGAAAGACTGTAAAGAACAATATGGATTTACACAATCTAGTTTCACAGTTATCAGAAACAAGGAAATTAGAAATGTCTAGAAATAATGAAGGTGATGCTGTAGACGAAGTAGATGGCACTAAGTTAAGAATGCAGTGGAAGAATGAGAAGGATCAGTACGAGATTGATATACAGAATTTGAGATCGTCAAATACTTTGTTGGAAACCCAGTTGAAGTTTCAAGCACAGGTTAATTAATGTTATTTTGGAAATAAATTGCATAAATAAAAACCCTCATTCACTCTTATTAATTAGGCAGCTTTAAACCGCAAATATCATCGCTCATCTAATGAATTTTATATTTATTTTTTTTAAGGTACAAATAAAAAATTGCATATTAATGAGTAAAAACAACTAAAATACAAATAGTAATATTAGGCTTGTTTTGTTTTTTTCATGAACTAGTTCAGAATCGGTGTATTACTTTCAATCAGCTCAAAACGACTGTGTTCTTGAAGAATGAGGAATTAATTTTATTTGAAAATTGGAATTGACAGTTCTGTTTGAACCAAAATAAACCAAATGGCTTGTTTCTCCCTGATAAATTAATATTGTAAAGTCAGCCAGGTTGCCAGTTCTAGCAGGAAATAAATATTTGAACTGCTTTTTCAGAAGTAGTTTAAAATCTAGTACTTCTGTGTTTATTGCAATATTTGGTTACTGTTCACTAATCACTTATACACAACAATAGTTTTGTAATGTTAGATTAGGAAATAAAACTACTCTTCTAGGTAAACAGTGAGCTGAAAACCCTTCTGGTGGCAGCTGTAGGTGAAGATTTAGAAAACAGGGTACAACATTTAACTGAAGATAAATTATCTTTAGCTAGAGAACTATTAAAATCTGCCAATCACTTGACATCCCACCAAGAACAGACTGAATGGCTATCAGGTCAATGTGAAGTGTGGAGAAGCAAGTTTTTAGCATCTAGGTAAGTCACAACTCATCAGTAGCTCATTTTTTCAAAAACTTATTTTTTAGTCTTATGGTTGAAGAATTGGCTAAATGGAAATCGGCCCTAACTAACAGATCATACGAATTACAAGAAGTGATTAAAACCCTCCTGGATGAACGAAAAAAAATCCATGTCCAACAACTAGAAATGTTCGACGAGCTTAGTAAAATTTCCAAAAATGCTACTACTAAAGATAAATACCAACCATTGCAGTTGAAATATGGTAACGTGATACAATTGAGCAGCATCAATGTGCAATTGGTGGAGAATTTGAGGAAATGTTTGAACGTTGATGATGGTTGTGATGGGTTGGATAAAACAGTGATTTTGAATGTACAGCAAACTGTGGCGGAGAAAAATGCTCATAGGGTAAGTTGTTAATAGAGTATGAGTGTTTTCTAATTTATTTATTTTTTAAAGAAAATGCGACTATTTAATATTGATAAAGATTGGTTTTCTTTATTATTTTTTGTTCAGTTTATTTCACTAGTTTCCAGTATTACATTTTTGCTCAAAGATTAATAATTTTTGGTCCCCAATTTGTTTTTTGTCCAAAATATGAATGGTCCCAACTTTATTAAAATATCAAATTTTATTTCTAGTTACTAAACAACCCTGTAACCATATCCAGTAAGCCAGACGTCCTTTGCAATGCCGTTATAGGCGCAGCGACATCTATCAGCAATGAACAAATGTTCCTGCAGTACCCTTCTCTACATCCTTGTTGCGCTCATTGCACAGGAAATATACAAAATATATGACGGTACGCCATAAGTGGGATTCACTGAAATGCCACTAGTTTGTAAGCAATAAACAATTTATGTAAATATTATATTTTTTTAATAAATATGTTTAAAAATGTTGGCTGTGTTTGATTTAGTAAACTTTTTTTAAATATGAGTAAAGGATCCCAATATTGGACATAGTAATAAAAATGAAGAGACCAAAGCAAAAACGATGAAGGTCATTAAAAGTTAATTATCTGTAAATTGCAATTTTAGTTTTGAAACCAAAATGCACTTAGTGCAGAAATATTAAGTAAAATGAGTCCCACATAACATCAATGTTCTATGAATATACTAAGAACGTTCTCTTTATGTTCTTTTTAGTATGTCCTTTTTAGTATGTTCTTAGAACATACCTAGTATATACTTTGAAAGTATATTCTAGAAAGTATATGCTGAGCACGTGCCTTAAAAGTATATTCCAAAAAATATATACTGAGCACGTGCTATTACAGGACATTCTAAGAAGATACTAAAAGTCATATACCCAGCATGTACCTCATATTCTGAGAATGTTCTAAATGCTTGCAGGTAAAAATTAACACCAAATACATGTAAAAAAAAACGTTTATATACATATCTATATGAATTCTTCCCAGATACCTATCTATTAATTGGTTAGCAAACGCACTAATGTTTAGGCCAAAAACAACCTTAATAAAAGATAAGAAGAAGAATAACATAACCTACAATTAGGCATTCCAACGACCTGTCAAACAATTAGGCATTCCAACGACCTGTCAAACAATTAGGCATTCCAACACATACTTTGATTTTCTTTTACTATACGGAGAATGGTCGCACTGCGCAGCTTTCTGAGTGCCTTTTAAAAGGAGATAGAAAACTCCGCCATTTTGAACCCTTATTACGTGTTGCCTACATCTTGTCGCAATATTTTTAATAGGTGCGTTTTAATCATCAGCTTCTGCTTCGGAATTGTTGGTTTTCTTGTTTTAAACTGACAGGTTAAAACGACTAAACCGACATTTCCGGAAGCAAAAGCGGATGATTAAAACGCACCTGATATTTTGCTTGCTGCTGTCAGTGTCAGAGAATATTATTTTTGAAGTCACAGTTTATTTCTAAAGAATTAGTTAGCTCACTCAGACCAGTTGAAAGTTCCAAAATAATATCCACTTCAGGGATACAAATTCAGGATACGCAGAAGACTGCTGTTTTATTATAGGCGGTTGTCATATATTGTATTATCCGAGTTGCGCAGTGTATAAACTGAAACATTGAGATCCAAAGTGCCGACGCAGAGTGAGCGATCTGACTCTTTAGCTGTAAACTGTGTCACAGGGTTCAAAATGGCCGCGCCCTATGTTGGACGTGTCGGACAGTGGGTACTGACAGTTTAGATATGGCAACCCTGTTGTCATTACATTGCTCAAAGCTGGGGCCCAATTCCTGACGCCTTCGTTAACTTATCGCATGCGATAACGTATGCGACTTGATGAAAGTGTATTCCTGAACTGGCGGCATTCGTCAAATTTATTAACGTATGCGCTAAGAAATGATGATTTTCAAAGAGCGCTCATGACCGTTCGACAACTACTTTGTCGCATTCGTTTAGGTGAAAGTAAGGTTATAATTGTCAATTAATCCTGCTTTATCATATGTGATTCGTGTTTCTATCTATTGGTTTTGTTTTGTGATTTATTATTGGGAAATATTTATTTTTAATTTGACTCTATTGAACATTTTATTAGAATATAAATTATGAAACTTTTTGTACCGTGAACTCTTTTATTGGACGTTTAGGTGCCACTTTATTTTGATTTAATTTTATTTAGTATGGATGATATAGAAGAAATATGAGTTTTACAGGCACTAAACAATGTTATAAATTCTACTAAAGTTTCACGCAATTTTTCCGTTATTCGTGAACCACGCTGTTCCATTTTTAATATTCTAAATCTAAACCACTCCAATTCTCAAGTCCAAAATACAAATAATCACAGTTAAAACGTCTAAAAACCAAAAATTATTAGACATCCAATCCATTTAATTTTATAATTTTTGGCAATTTTGACATGTGTCAATGCAATTATCTCATATTCAGTGATACCATCTTTGGTATTCTCAATCCTCATTGGTTAAGACTATGCAATAATCAAAGACTCTTCGTTAACACGTTCGACTTGATTCGCGATTATCGCATGGTGTTCAGGAATACTAAATTGCTGTCGTATGCGTTAACGACCATGCGTTACTTAGCGCATGCGGCAGTTAACGCATGTTTCGAGAATTGGGCCCCTGCATTGACATATGTCAAAATTGCCAAAAATGCAAAAATTATAAAATTAAATGGATTGCAATGTCTAATAATTTTTGGTTTTTGGATGTTTTAACTGTGATTATTTGTATTTTGGACTTGAGAATTGGAGTGGTTTAGATTTAGAATATTAAAAATGGAACAGCGGGGTTCACGAATAACGGAAAAACAGCGTGAAACTTTAGTAGAATTTATAACATTGTTTAGTGCCTGTAAAACTCCTATTTCTTCTATATCATCCATACTAAATAAAATAAACCAAAATAAACTGGCACTTAAGCGTCCAATAAAAGAGTTCACGGTACAAAAAGTTTAATTTTTATATTCTATAGTAACTAATAAAATGTTCAAAAAAGTCAAATTAAAAATAAATATTTCCCAATAAATCACAAAACATAACCAAAACCAATACATAGAAATATGAATCAGAATCACGTATGATAAAGCAGGATTAATTGACAATTATAACCTTACTTTCACCTAAACGAATGCGATAAAGTGGTTGTCGAACGGTCATGAGCGCTCTTTGAAAATCATCATTTCTTAGCGCACGCGTTAATAAATTTGACGAATGCCGCCAGCTCAGGAATACACTTTCATCAAGTCACATACGTTATCGCATGCGATAAGTTAACGAAGGCGTCAGGAATTGGGCCCCAGGCCTACAGAGTTGCCATAACTTTACGTGTGTCTTTTTATCCAACTGTTGCAGCAACGTTGGCATCGGTGCGGTATGTCAACTGTTATTTATTTCAACGGTCAACCAAAAATGTATCGAATCCAATACAAAACGTTCAAGGCCGCATCGGTGAAACAACGGTTGCAACAAACCGGTGGAAAAAAAGACACACGTTTTGCCACATCATAACCTGTCAAAACCAATGAACTGGAGTGGGGTAGAAAGCCAATGTGCATATTGTATCAATAGAACAAGATGCGACTCTATGGGCGCAGCCATTTTTATTTCTCATCTCACTCGGGAGTATTTATGATAACCATTTTCTGTTTCACATTGTTATTGTTCAATCCACAAGCTGGTGGATCAGACAATAACAAAGTGAAATAGAAAATGGTAGTTATAAATACTCCCGAGTGAGATGAAAAATAACCTATCTTCGCCCATAGAGTCGCATCTCAAGCCTATTGACAAGCATTCTACCCCACTCCAGTTCATTGGTCAAAACCCACTGGTAGTCATTCAGTTTGGAATGCCTATGCTGCGTTTGAGAATCCACATCGGATGCATTTTTTACATCTCGAGCGTTTTTTTATCCACATCGGACATATCTGTCCCATTACATTTACGTATACTGAATCACGTGATCAAAGATTTACTACATCTCAGAGGCATCCGATGTGGATTCTCAAACGCGGCATTTATTAGGCATTCCAACGACCTGTCAAACAATAGGTGCCAGTGGGAAATTCTTGTATATTTAACATAGTCTTGCAACTTGGACGCTATTTTTATTCGAAGTAGTACTCGCCTAGCCTGCCAATTTATGAAGAATTGTATAGGTGGGTTTTTTAAATATTATTTTTATTGTGTTTGACATAAAATATTTAAATGTACATTATTCATGATTTTACGTAAAGTAGATAGAATACACCTTATATGTCGCTACCCTTAGATATACCAAACCTGCCCACTGGTAATTCATTTGTTTGGAATGCCTAATACCTGCCAGTGGGAAGGTCTCGTATATCTAAGGGGGTAGCGACATAGTCTTGCATCTTGGACGCTATTTTTATTCGAAATATCAGTCGTCAATCCTGCCAGTTTTTAAAAAAATGTACAAGCAGTTTTTTTAATTAATATTTTTATAGTGTTCGATATAAAATATTTAAATGTAATCCATTATTCATGATTTTAGGTATTGTAGATAGAATACATCGTATGTCGCAACCGTCAGATCTACCAAACCTGCCCACTGACAATTCATTTGTTTGGAATGCCTAATTCCTAGAAATTTCTTTGATCTCCTTCACATCTCGTTTCAGTAAAGTAAAAATTAATTGCATCGTGTGTTCTATATAAAAATAGGCAGTGGCTAGTGTTTTCGTAGCCGGTAGTTGACCAGGATTGGTCGAAATCCAGAGGGCGGAACTACCGTACCAGTTACGAACTTTGCTGCCGGTAATTTGTAGGATGTTTGTAGGTTACGTTTAACGCAATGAATGGCGCTTACCCAGAGTTTATTGCCATAGATGCAACCCAGCTAGCACAAAAACATCCCATCTACGTTAATAAGCTGCAATTTTAGGCTCTTTAAGCTCGCATGCAATGTACCGTAAACGTAACCCTATTATCCCTGCAACTACCGAATGTCCGCAACTGCAAGACTTTTATAGCACATCTCGTAGAAGTTATAAAGTGAAGTTCGGAAAACATCACACTAGCACTTTTACGGTACTTACCCCGAAAGTTGCTCTGAAACGTTCTATTGATGTTATAATGTGAATTAGATCTACAGCATTATACAGTGTGTCCACGGATGGGCTTAACTATACTTGTGAAAATATTTATTTTAAATTAAAAAAGTAATTCTTCATAATTTCTTGCTTGTTAAATAAATTCGATTCACATTGAGAAATTATGAAAAATAACTTTTTCTTTAATTTAAAATAAATATTTTTACAAGTATAATTAAGTCCATCCATGGACACACATTGTGTAATGTAATACAGAGAGGCTGAAATTGAGGCTATAGTAAAATCTCAATCGAGACATGAAAATTTCAAATAAAACAAAATATTTATATAAATTTATTATTAAAATGTTCTTGAAATCAAGTACC